GGGAAGGGGGTATATGACAGGAAGCTACAGGCTTAGCTCCAAATTCTTCCTGCTGAGACCTCCCTCCTCCAACAGAGAGCACTAGTGGGTAAGGTTCATGAAAACCCTATGCCAGCTTTCTCCTGTCATGCCTATATTTGATTACTAAAGACAACTTTCTCCCCACACTTGGCTCATCAATCCACCTCTAGGTAGCACACTCCAGAACATCACCAAAGCATAAACTGTGTCAATGGTTTCCTGTAACCAGAGTAACCAACTATCATAAATTTGGCATTTTGCACGTCTGGAGGTCAGATACCCAACTTCAGCTTTACTAACCCAAAGTCATGGTGCTAATAAGGCAGCGTTACTCTAACAGCTCTCTAAAAAGAGTTCATTTCTTGCCTTTTCGTTCCTCTGATGGCCACCTGCATTTCTTGGCTTTCTCAACCTGCCCTCTGCGTCCACTACCACATCTCCCACCCCCTACTCTCCTGCCATCTTTTCAAAGGATTCTTAGGACCCCATTGGGCTCACCTGTATACCAAAGAATCTGGTCCCAAAGCATTACCTGGAATCTCAGAGTCCTTGTTCCTGCAAGTTCTGTTTGCCATGTGCAAAACATAATCACTGATTCCAGTGATTAGGGGGTAGACATATATGGAGGAATCATCACATCCTGTCACATTTCTTGGGGTTTGGGCAAGTTGAACCCTAGTTTCAAACAACATACGGCAGCCTCTAGTTTTCCTTATAAAAATCCCTCCTTCAAGGATCAAAGTGAAGAGTCAGAATATCCCAGCTCTGAAGTTTTCTTCCCAGTCTCATTCACTAAGGTCTAGCTGATCCTTCTGCCAGACAGATGTAGAGAGGGGAACTGATTCCTTTCCACTTCTTTCATGAAATTTCTTTCCACTCTACTTGGTGCCCCAATCAGATTGGCACTATGGCGGGGAGAATTCCAATCTAACATCCGGTACAGAACTGCTTCCCTAAAGCAGAAATATGAAATTAAAAATAGATTTTCATGAATTGCTAAACTTTTCAAGCATGTCTTCTCTTTTGTGACAAAGTACATGCATTTGCTGCATCAAACGGAATTTCAATAGTCAAAGGTGAATATGAAATGAGTAACATACTATAGAATGCAAAAATATTTTTAGGAGAGTACTTTTGCTTCTGAATAGCTTTTCAGTCAGTTATGCTGTTCCTTCTTGAATTAAGAACTATCACTCAACCAATCTTCTGTTCATGTGAAAAAGAATAATTCTAGCTGGAGAGCAAATCTCACCTGCAAAATGTTAAATGTGAGATGTGAGGTGGGCATACTTTAGTTTGCCTAAGGTAATGTATTTTCATTCTTAAGCCTCTTCCTAGTTGTGTAATAGCTAAAATCATTTATGAAATCCACAAAACCACAGTGCCATAAATTATGTTCACATTATTATTGGATATTTCACTTGGATGATAATGAATTAAGAGTATGTACACAAAGAGGAATTAATAGCATTTGGGAGTCAGAACACGAGTATTTCTACCAACATTCCACCACAACAGAATTGTCTAAATATCAGAAAACATGGAAAAAATGAGAGGGAGATTTTACTTGTATATTAGTTTCAACTCTGGGGAAGCAAATAATACAAAATAACTAAAAACAGAAAAGGCACTTAATAAAATTCCAAATCCAACTCATGGCAAAAAATAGCAACAGCCAGTGTTAAAACAAATTGCTAATATTATAAAAGGAATCTACAGAAAATCTGAAAATCTTACATCTTATCAAATGGTCAAGTATTGGATGACTATCAATGCAAAAATCATCAATAAAATACTAGCCAAAAAAAATAAAAATCAATGCCACATTAAAAATATTACACCCTGGCCCTCCCTGGTGGTGCAGCGGGTTAAAGCACAGCATAAAGAAGCTTAAGCCACTTTCGCATGAGTTCGATCCCCGCCTGCCCCGGAGGAGATCCACACGGTGCGGCAGACCTCTCCTGACCCACCTGCTGCTCCCCTCAGCAGTGTACTTCATCGATCTGCCTGTTCTGTATCCCACTGTCTCTGGTGAATCTTCTCACCCTCCGCATCTCTGGCCTGTACCCCAGTTCTGTACAAATAAATAAATATTACACTCTATGACCAAGTGGATGTCTGAAATTAAAGAATGATTGGCAACAAGGTATTAAATCAGTACAATATAACCACTTTTAGAAATGAAGGGGGAATAAAACATCATAATCTCAGTGGATACTGGAAAGGCATTTGATGGACTCCAGCTGCCTTTCCTACCAGAACTACACAGAGTAGGAATATAAGGGGTCACCTCAGTATAACTAAGGCCACAGGTGAAAAGCCCTCAGCTAACCTACTCAATAGTGGAAAATGAGATTTTCCTCAAAGATTTTCCTCTGGAACTCAACAAAGGTGTGAACTTCTATTATTTCTATTCAATATAATACTGGAAATCATAGTTAAAACAATTAGACAAGAAAAGAAAACAAAAGACACCCAAATTAGACAGGAAAATCTAAAATTACCTGCTTGCAGATGACATGCTCTTACATAAAGACTAAAGATTCCAAAAACAAACTACTGGAACTAGCTAATGCAGCGGAGTGCAGGGTACAGCATTAAGACACAGACAACAGACCGATCTGCACCCCAAAGGACAGAATCCTCAGAAATGAAGTTGCCAAGGAGGCCAAATGTGTGTACACTGAAACCTACAAAATATTTCCGAAAGAAATTAAGAGAGACCCACAAAATGGAAACATTATGTTTATGGACTGGAACACTTCATATTGTTAGGGTGTCAATACCACACAAAATGTAATGTAATCCCTATTAAAAATCCAAACATGCAAATTACTACAACCACTATGGAAAACTGTTTGGAGGTTCCTCAAACTGCTAAACATGGACCTTCCCTATGACCCAGCAACCCCACTCCTAGGTATCTACCCAAAAGACACAAAAACACTGATTCAAAAAGATACCTGCACCCCCATGTTTATTGCTGCTTTATTTACAATTGGAAAAACATGGAAGCAGCCCAAATGCCCAAAAGTAGATGACTGGATTAGAAAGATGTGGTACATATATACAATGGAATATTACTCAGCAACCAAAAAAGAGAAACACATGTCTTTTGCAGCAACTTGGATGGAGCTGGAAAAGATCATGCTTAGTGAGATAAGCCAGAAAGAGAAAGAAAAATACCGGATGGTTTCACTCATAGCAGGAGTAAATGGACCAGGCGAGAAAATAACAAAAATAATGAATAACCATATACCAGAGACATTTTGCGGGAGTGGAGTGGGGAATGGGATCAAAAAACGGGGGTGGGAGGGTGGGAAGTGCATGGGATTTTGGTGATGGCACACAGGTGATGGGAAACCCGCGGGGATTACAAATGAGGTGGAAAAAAAAATGTACAAAATGATGTAAAAATAAGCTGTTATAAAATTAAAAAAAAAAAATCAGAACACTACTTTCTGTCAGAACAAAAAGTCCATTCAAAAATTTGTATGGAACATCAAGGGATCTCAAGTAACCAAAATGATTATTGTGTTAAGGTCATGTCTTCAAAATCCATGATGAGGTTTTAACTCCCAATAGATCCAGAAGTGACTGTTTTGAGATCGGATCTTTAAAAACATAATACATGAGGTTACGGGAGTAGATCCTAATCCAAGATAACTGGTATTCATCTAAAAGCAAATTTGCTGAAACAGAGCGGACCCAGGTGTCCACACACAGAGAGGGAAGGACACATGAGAACAAAGCAAGAGGTGGCCATCTTAAAGTCCATGAGACAAGCCTGTAAGATACCAACTCTGCTGACATCTTCATTTGGATTTTTAGAAAATAACAGGCTGTTGTTTGAACCAGCCAGTCTGTGAGAATATGCTAGGGTAGCCCTAGCAAACTAATACAGTAACCTTCGAAAGGAATGACGTGATGATCTCACACTTCTTGATTCCAAAACATTTTACAAAGCTACCATGGGTGATGTGATACTAACATAGATGCAGGGTTAAGGGATTTCTAGTAAGGGCTCATTTTGTTCTAAGTGTTTAACTTGCTTTTCCAGTCCCGCACCTTCCCACCCCAGGCCTCCCTTCCTTTAGTTACCTACAGACTGACTAAATTAATACATGCTTAAATGAGTGATCAACATTTCAGGAGGGGAAACTGCTCACTTCTTGTTACGATGTAGGATAAAGGAACAAAATGTTCTTTCTTCCTACAGCAGAAAAGCAGGTCCAAAACTGGAATAACGTGATGCAAAATAACAGCCCAACTAAACTAGGAGCCGATATCTACGAATCCAGAATATATGCATAGGGATATACAAGATAGCTTTAAATTACCTTCAATAATAACTTACGTGCCGGAGGAGGCAGGGGGGTGAGGGTTGGGGAGGGGAGGGGAACCTAAATCTAAACGACTTAAAAGTCACAGAAGTGTCGAAATAAGTATTAATAGGTTCAAAGTGATATGGCAAAGTGTTGCATCTACACAAAACTTATGCATTTTCATTTTCAAAGTAAAATCTATAAGCTCTTTTGAGGAAACTAACATTTAAAATTATACTTAGGCCTTCCCTGGTGACACATGGGTTAAGCGCAGCACTGAAAACTGGCACTGAACAGTATGAGTTTGATCCCTGGCCAAGGAGGTGACCCACTTGGCGTGGCAGACCTCTCCTGACCCACCCACTGCTCCCCTCAGCAGTGTATTTAGTCAGTCGGTCTGTTCTGCTCCCCACTCTGTCTTTGGTGAATCTTCTCACCACCCCTGCACCTCTGGCCTGTACCCCAGTTCTGTATGCATAAATAAATAAATCTTTAAAAAAATAAAAATAAAATTATATTTACAATATGCATAAACTCAAAATCACTTTGACTTCTATGCCAGTCAATGGTACTAAACATATAAAAGTTGGTTAACTGACATATGTATAACTCTCCTTAAAATATCCCAATGGAGCAACTGCACTGAAACAGACCTCAAGGCTTCTATAGTAAAATATAAAAATGTAAGCTTGATACCAGGACAAACATCTATTATTTATTGTATTAAATACAAGCCTGAAATGTCGAGTAGGTATTAAAGACTCTGCAAAATTACATTTCAGATTCCCAAAATGTCTCGCTGGCTAACCACTAGAACAACGCTTGAAAGGTTTTTTTGAAAATTCATTACAAAAGCGACAATGGGGGAGGGGGCGGAGGCGAGAAAATACGTAACATCCAAAACTTAGTCGTTTATTCAAAAATGCTTTCAATGTGGGGAGGGGGCTGTAAACGGTTTGTCTGCTCGTGTTCATAGTTAAGGAATGTGCCTATCACAGTTTGTGGGTTCCTTCCTCGCCGCCCGCAGCCTACACAGTAGTTTCATGTTTCCATAACCCAGTCCTCACGTTGCCAGTGCCGTCGGGCTCCAGCAAGGCTCCATCCTGCCCACCGCTTTTGATCGGTCCATTCTGAATGGCCAAGTTGAGGCCGTAAGACTTCTGCTGACTTTCCAGTTCAACGGCAGCTGGCTTCCTTGGTGCCTCTTTCTTACTACTGGTTGAAACTGGCTTTTCAAAGTTTCTGCTGCTCTTGGGCAGTGTGCTGCAGGCATCGCTGCTGTCCTGTTGGGGCGGGTTGTACTGCCTCTCCCTGTGGGCGAGATAAGCCCTGCGGCTCCGCGAGTGGCCCTCGCCGTTGCCCGGCCGGCCCCTGGGCACGCCGTTCTGCACGCTGCCCTCCACGCTGGTGGGGATGTCGTAGGCGTATTCCCTCAGCACCGTGAGTCTGCTGGCCCGGTGGCCCTTGCTTCTGTTTTTATGATGGCGGCCGGGGTGCACATTTGCTCGAAACTGAACCTCCAGAGGCGCCACGTGCATCTTGATGTCGTTGTCCACAGAGTGCTCCGTCAGGCTGTTGTCAAGCTGGGGCGCAGGGCTCACCGGGAGGGCGTTGGCGTGGCACTGGGCGGCCGCCGCCTGCAGGTTGGTCAGTTTGCAGCCCTGGGAGGAGTTTTTGAAGCTGGACGCGCTCTTGTTCGTGCAGGAAGATTCTGCGCTGCTGTTGGTGCACTTGGGTGCCTCTCCGTTAGTCCCGCCGGAGTTGGGGGGCTGCACGTTCACTTGCACGGAGTATGAGCTCCGGCCTGGGCAGCACGTCATGATCCAGGCCAGCCTCACGTCCTCCCTGTTGACACAGTGGTGGACCACGATGAAGGCACTGAGGCTTAAACAGGTGGCTCCAAAAAAGAAGCTAAAAACCAAGTCCAGAGGGTAGTGCAAGGAGACCGCCAGGGCCCCACACGTCCACAGAGCCACATAGAAGAGCAAGGTGAGGCCCACCCCCAAAAGCTGAGCGTGGAACGTATGCTCGTTCTCCAACGCCGACGTGGAGATCAGAGACAGAGACATGGCGTCCTGGTGATTCACTTCGCCGTTCTCGTTGGCCGCCAGCCTCTGCTGCTCCTCGGTGGGCTCCTTCAGCTCGTACTTGCGCTCAGGGTGTCTCTTCAGCTGGATGAAGATGCTCAGGAAGTACATACAGTTCACAAAAGTGATGAAGCTGGCAGGGCCGTAGAAGGCCCCCAAGGAGGGCTCCCACGCCATCCAGCAACTAGGAAAGAGAAAGGGGAGGCAGCTGAGAAGCCCGTGTGTCAGGAGCAAGAACCAGGGAGCGTCGTCGGTGCTAGGAGAGCGAAAGAGAAGCCAGGGAGCAGGTACCCGGGAAAACAATACTCACTAGGGCGCGCTCGGCCGGCTGCCGTAGTTCTTGATGTTTGCTGCCGCTGTTATGCCACAGACAATGATGGGGATACCGCCCCCGATCAGGTAAAACCTAGACGTGACGAAACGGCAGCTGTTACTTCTGCTCTGTTGCGGTGGCTATGCCGCGGTGTCTCGCCACCACCAAGTTCTACATGAGATTAAATACTGAATTAATCTTCAACTACTGCTGATACTACTAATTATTATCCCTGCATCAATAATACATTGAGGATTAACTTTTGAAGCCTGCCTGGCTAGCAACGGCTAGCAGTGACTTTTTTTTTAAATTGGTATTTGGATTGCTTCTTTTTTAAAACACAGACCAAGGAAGTTTCCAAGTTGAGGAAAGCTGGTCAGCTTCTGCCACCCTGTGGACAAAGTAGCACTCAGCTCCCACAGGACAGGCAGGGTTTTCTGTGTGTTTTAGTGGCACAGGCTCCTTACAGATGCAACTGGTGACCAAAAGCCAGTCCATCACGAAATGGGCTGTAAGATCTCACTGTGCCCAGCTCAGACAAAATATGCCTTGACATTCTCGTTCTCTATCTGGCTGAGCCTACCGGTCCCAGGCGGTCCCACCAGTGGGAACGCCCAACCCCAACCCTGACAGTGAGGCTCGGTGTCAGGACTGTGCGCCCAGCTCAGGCCCTTCCCAGCCCCTGTCCTGAAGGCTAGCAGGGGAGCTAGGGGAAAGGCCAGTGCAGTAGAGAGACACGAACACAGTGCTGGCTGGTCCCATGGAGAGAAGATGGCTTTGGCCAGAGCTGCTTTGGGCTGACTGAAAAATGGGACAGGGAACTGCCTGCCCCGCAGTCACTCCCTCCACACCCCACCAGTCCCAATTCTGCACAATCAACCCTGAGACACAGCCCACGGCTAACTTGGCTTGATAAATGCACCTTCATAACACACGCTTCAGCTCCTCATCCCCATCTGCTGGTCATGCTCAATTACTAGAATGCGGAAATGTGTCCCAGGGCTGCTGAAAGACAGCTTATCACGCCACGAAACCAAAACCCTCTCTTCTATCCCACAGACCCAGGGAAGTCAGTTGGGACCTGTGTTATCTTCCTCTTTTACTAAGTCACGTGGGTAGTTCCCAAGCATTGCATGGAAGAGATAACCTGGGCTCTGCCATCCCTGACGCGTCTCCCCCACCCTCCCTCCAAGAACACCTGTTATCCACTCATCCCTATTAACCTCCGTTGCTTTTGTATTTTCAGCCTACAAATAAGGACACGATTTTGTCATCTTCTAAAACTTCTGTGAACTACAACTTTTCAATCTTTGGGAACAAATGGCCGGAAACCTTTCCACCCACCATCACTTGTTTTACTTTCCACACCACATCCTGAGCTGCTTCCACTAACCTCCCCAAACTTCCCAGGGGTGAGCGCTGCGCCCACCTCCACAAGGACACTCCCAGGTGCACCCCTGCCCACCCCCCACAGCACTCTGCTGGGCTTTCCTTAAGCTCCAGGACTCTCAAAGTAGGCATCCTAGAGAGTGGAACTTGCACTGTCTACAAAACTGGAGGTGCCTTGGTTCACATGAGGACAGCGTAGCATTTGAAGCATAGATGCCTTTTACTTATCCCCTTTGAGTTTTTCTCAGAACCCAGAAAAGCTGCATGAAGTCCACCTCCCAAGTGTCTCGGTCAAAGCCATCTGTTGGTTCTTTTAAACAAGCAGCAGAGATGTCCAATCTCTTAGCCTCAAACCTGCCCCTGACCAAGCAATCCTGCTGTGCCTCATCAGCCAAAGACAGACTCCCCAGAATCTTCTCCAGGGTTCTCTTTCAAGTCTTGTCGTTGTTATCTGTGTTATTGTTGTTACCTGGGTGCATCTGGCAGACATCAACATGGCCTGAGATTACTGCTCTCTCAGCCAATTCCTTCTGCCTCTTCATTCTCATGGCTTCGTTGACACAAATTAAATGTCCCCTATTCTGCCCCGAGCATGTATAAGTCAACCTCTCTGTAAATGTTCCATGAAAACCTCCAGGCTTCTCTGGTCTGCGCTTACCTCCCGCCCTCTACCCTTTTACCGTATTTCCTCAGAAGTCTCATCTGCGGAGGCACCTCGCTAACTACTGTATATAAGTTGCCATTAACTTTGAATATCTCCCTCTTATACATCCCTTAAATCCAATCCAGTTAGTCATTAACCCTAGAGATAAAGCCTGAAGTCTCTGAAACAAGTGTCCTTTGAATGTTCTGTGCCTCTGTTTTATCAGGTTGTTGGAAAAGTCATGACACATTTTTGCAGAGAAAAGAGAAAAAACTAGGTCATGACTTTTCCAACAACCCAATACGTTCAGCCTTGAGGGACCAACCCTCTAAGCTCAGCAGAATTCCATACTCCTCAGGGGCACATTCTCCTCAAGACTCTTTAGATACCAACCCTTAATGGCTGCCCATGTTTTAACGTGGCCCCCAAAGGCCTAAATTCAGCTTTAACCCTGAATTCCTCAGACCTCGTGGTTTTAACAAACTGTATTTCTGAAAGTCTACCAGCTCTCCACATAATGCCAGATCTGCAGTGCAGCCTCTACCATGTTCTAGTCACTAAAGCAGGCACGTGCCTGTGGCCAGGCATTTCCTTACACCCCCTAGGCCGCCGCATGAATGGTCCCCCGGCTCGTTTGCTTCCAGTGAGCTACCTGCACTCCAATTCTTCTGCAGCCAGCTTACCCCAGGACACCTCCTCAGACTGTAACTCCTCAAGAGCCAGACTTCTTTCAGTCCCTTGCCAGTGCCATGGTAATGGCTGGCATTCAATAAACTCAGTCACCACTGATCAGTTTCACCCTCCAGCATGATAATTTATTGATACTTTATTTTATTGCAATGGGTAGGAAGGACCTAGCTCCAAAACTGTTTTGTCTTGTGTAGACAGTAAAAACTGATATATACTTGACTAGATTAAAATCTATGGCATGACCTCAAGCCTGCTACATTATATGGCCAGTACCATTTTTAGTGCTTTGCGCACTAAATCATTTCTGTCTGTATGCTGTGATCTATCAGAAACAGGTATTGGGTCATGGAGATGATCAAAGTAGATCTCTCATCTGTCTCGAGTCTTCCCCCACAGCTGCAGGCTCACAGGCAGTAAAAATCTTGGAATTTCCAGTAATGAGAGGGATAAAGGCGTCTCGTCATGTGAATGAGGCACCCAAAAGTGGGTGCTCGTTGCCAGGGGAACCACTTATGTGACTGGTGAACTGACATTTTCAGCCCCAGCTCCATACCCTCTGACATAGGAGCGTGCTGGAGATTGATTGCGTGGAGAATGGCCAGTGCATCAACCACACCTTTGCAGGGAAGCAGCCATACAAAACCTCCAAAGGGAGAGCTTTTGGGAAAATGTGACTTGGGAAAATGATGGCAAAAGCTGCAAGTTCCCCCCACGCCCCCACCCCACCTCGATGCCTTGCCCTCTACGTCTCTTTCACCTGGTCTTCCAGAGTTACATCCTCCTATAATAAATTGACAATCTAGAGAGTAAATGGGTCTCCTGAAGGGAGCTCCTCTAGGAAATTAAATCCGAGGAGGCCTTGGGAAACTCCAACTTACAGCCACTGGTCAGAAGTCAGGTAATGCACTCAACACTTGACTGCTCTCTTAGGGAGGGGCATCGTGGGCCTGACCCTTGCCTGCAGAATCCAACCCACCCTTCCGTCAGTCAGAGCTGAGTGGAGCTGTAAGATCCCGGCTGGTGTGCAGTGCTCTGTGATGCTGTGGCCGTCGTCCACACATCTGCCATTCCCAGTTTACAAAGCAGACAGGCAGGCATGGCGAGGGCAGAGGCTCTCGGCTGTGGGAGTCTAAACCAGGGAGCTAGTCCCACCTTTCACTTTCCAAAATTTACTCGCCACTGCTTGTCAGGACCGTGCTCAACTACCGGACACTGAACACGTCACATGCAGTACACAATGATGGTAGGTACCTGAGCATTGGTCTTGGTGGGGGCGGCAGTTCATCCGGGTCCTGGCATCTCTTAGCCTTTTTAGTGACTTGTTTATAGATATTTCGAGCTGTCACTCCCACCCACAGTACCGTCGCAAGGGTGGAGTAATGAAGAATGATTCCAACCTGGAAAGAAGATTGAAGAATATATGAACTAAAAAGAAAAAATCCTCTCAACCATCAAGGATAGTAGCAGCCACAAAGGTTTACTAAAAGACTGGTAAGTAACTTTCAAAACAGATTCTAAAGCTGCACAAAGGTTTGTTGGAATGAACAACCCTTCCGCCTCCAGATGTGCGGTGGAGGGTGGCGTCTCCTGTTCTACCAACAGCTGGATCTAGGAGGGTTGCAGAATACAGCTCATGACCATGAACTAATACACCACAAATTCGCTCCTGGACAGAGAAGCCATCACTGAAGCCTGTTTTAAGGAGGACTGGACGGGGCAAGGGTCAGCCGAGGGCATCGTTGCAGATTTAGAGTATGAGGCCTGAGTTGTAGTTTGGAGCCTTTACATGACAGGATGGTAGGAGAGCAATAGATCGTAATCAGCAGTTACAAGCATGAGCTCTGAAATAAAAAATGGTGCCTGATTTTAAAACTACAACCAATAGCTTACCTACTATGGCACCTGAACGAAGTCAGTTAACATCTCAAGTGTCAGGTTTCTTCATTTGTAAATGGAGACTATTATGAAGCAAGGTGAGGTGAAATAAGATAATTTCCATAAAGCCTTCTGTCCATTACTGGGTACATACAAGGAATGTAATAACACTATATGTACTGTTACCTTTGTCAAACTTTCAGAGTGTCATTTCAGGAAAATAATGTCAGCTCTTGGAAATGAATTCTCTTCATTTGAATAATGAAAGGACTATAAATAAACATCTTGAGGCTTCCTACAAGGACTGTAGGGCATGATACCTGGGACATAGTAGGTGCTCAATCAAAGACGGAGGCAATATTGATACATGATGGCACAGAGTTTCTCCCTGAAGGATACTTGTTGCATGATCTGTGTTTCAGGCAACTCGAATTGAAGATTAACTTCTAGATGGAGGTATGTATGGAGAGGGGAGGTTTAAAATCTACTTGAAGAAAAATGAATACATGTGTTATTGGACATCAAGGACATAATTGAGCTTTCTTACTAACTACTATCTTATTGATATTTCTTCTTTATAATTATTGCAGGAAAAATTCTATGAAGGAAAATCAAAACAGAAGCTTCATTCTAAACAAATGGATCTCTAAGTCAACATAACCAAATTGTATGACATCGTCAAACCTCTGCCAACCACAGACCATTTACACAGCTGCCCAGAGTTTATTTCAATAGAACCCAACCTGCAGCTGAAACTTGGCAACATGAAAACCTAGGTAATCCCAGAGCAGGGATTCTGCAAACACTGCAAATCGACCTAGTTTGGTCAAACTGAAAAAGAATCAGTTTTCTTCTTCTTAAAGAGCAAAGTGGCTCTTGGATCCCACTAGTTTTACTGACTGCACTGGAAAGTCAAACTTTCAGAAGTGGAACAAAAAGCATAAAGTAACCTTTTGAGCTATCTGGAGTCACACCAAATATTGAAAGGAAAAAATAGTAAAAATGAATTCAGCTCAAAGAAACTAAAAAATTCAAGATAAAGCACTGATGTTGACTCAAACAGGTAGGTTCTATTATTGGTGGAGTTTTGTCTGATTTAGAGGTCCAAAGGATGAGACTGGGCTAGAATGTAAGTTTAAAAACAGAGCTAACAGTATTTTCAAGACAGGAGATGCAAGATGGAGAATTTCCCTGTTTTAGAGCTAAGAGTCGGAAAACTCAACCTTTACATTTCAAGGCATTTTTTTTTTTTTACAAGACTGCTAAATTTTCAGAAGTGTTCAGACTTGAAAGATACCAAATTCTTTCACTTAAACAATGATTACCGATGGAATTGTAGGAGCCTGACAGGTTAAGCAAATCACCACACAGTCCACAGGAAATAAAGGCAGAATTATAAACGGAGTGGTGAAGGCATTCCAGTCTGCTGGGAACCCAGCCTCTGTCCCTTCTATAAGCCATACCGGCCCCATCAACGGGGAATGAGGAAGAGGCTCACAGAATCAAGAGACCAGTAAGATAAATTCCTGATTTTGACACTGAAAGGCTTATGTCTGGTGGAGTTTTTCACACCTCAAATACCCTCCGGCCCTCATGATGGGGGACAGCTTATTCAATTCTCTAAGAATCTAAGTTTCCATCTTTATCAAATAAATGATGAAGCAGTTATCTTCTAAAACTAAGATGAAAGTCAAGACAAAATGCTTCAGTCGTTCCTAAGGAGAGAGCTCTTAACAGTCACTGATTAAACCTCCCCAGATGCCTCTCATGTGCCAGTACAGCTGTGTTCGGGTTACCAGCTTTGAACGGACACCTGAGGTAGTCAGCTGGCACCGTGGCTAACAGATTAAATCATGGAGTGGAAAGGGCATCAAGGGAGGGAAATCAGATCCAGCCAAATCCTTTCACTCTGTAGCGAGGGAAACCAGGGCCAGAAAATTAATGAGAGAATAGTTGGCAACACAGGACCAGCGGAACCTGGATTCTCCCTGATCCTGAGCCAGCAGCAACTTCTACTCTGCTTCTCAATGTCATCTTTCTCCTTCAGTTTCTTTTTTCAAAAGAGCTTGACACTGTAGAGCACCCAAGGACCATCTAGAACTGACTGAAGGACCAAATTGGGGGCCCTCCCTGCTGGCACAGCAGGTTAAAGCATAGCACTGAGAAGCTAAAGCCACTTCAGCATGAGCTCTCGTTCTCCACCCCGGAGGTGACCCACATGGCACAGCAGACCTCTCCTGACCCGCCCGCTGCTCCCTTCAGCAGTGTATTTTTTCAGCAGGCCTCTTCTGCTCCCCACTCTGTCTCTGGTGAATCCTCTCACCGCCCCTGCACCTCTGGCCTCTACCCTAGCTCTGTATGCATAAATAAATAAATCTTAAAAAAAAAAAAAAAGAACCAAAGCGGGAATTACTTGGCTTGAGGCAGGTGCCTTCAATCACTGCGTGTGTGGAGTGGGGGGTAAGGGGGTGGAAGAGGAAAACTATCAGATCCCAGTCAACTGTCAATAGAATATGTGAGCCCTGAAAGGGATTTAAGACAAGGCTACACCACTGATGTGCATATACAAAATTGCATGTAACAGGTTTCCCTGGAGGGCTGTTTCAAAGGTAACTTTAGTGATCAAGCCCAACCCATCATTCTATAGAAGAATTACATCCCAACTAGATTTATTGACTAGTCTTGCAAACAGTTCCTTTAGACAGATTTAGAACCTACACACAAGAGTCCTAGACATTCCTCTCAGCCAGCTACTAACTGAATTGAGGATTGTAACAGAAGCAAAGCCAGTTGGGCCGACATCAAAAATAACAAGAATGATGGGATGTCTTTCATGGAAGAGGAGAGTATTGCAAAAATATAAGAAAATGAGGTGTAAAAACATCTAAAGATGTCCTCCCAACACCCCACTCATAAATCTTTAAGTAAAAGTCAACATTCATTCTAAAGCCCAGAAAACTTAGCACAATTCTTCTCTTTTTCAGTCTAGAAACAAAATACCATTCCAGGCAGTGGAAGGCAATCGTCTTTACAATGGCCTCTTTCTTTTCTTTATTGAAATAAATTTATGTGTCTGTTTCCAGAAATCAGAGAATATTTTCAGTTAAAACTGAGATGGCTGTTGTAACTGTGTGCTAAGCACACTTGTAAGAGTCTGTGCTCGAAATGGTGTCCAGGCTGAGGGATTTCTGCCACTTCCCAAGAGGTATTTTGTAGTTCATTCAGGCAATAAATATTCACCAAGCACCTACCTACTACTACGTTCTGGGCCAGTGCCTGGATGTCACTGGAATCCAATCAACAGAATCCCTGCCCCCAGAGAGCTGATGGTCAAGACAGTGTAGAATCCAGGGACAATGAATAAACACGGTCACTGAGTATTGCACGCACTGTGGAATTTTCATAATCACCAAGAATAATGACGGACGTGAGAGGCACTGAGGAAGGTCAACTGTTAAGTGGGAATCAGCCATGTAAAGGCGAACACCAGGAACAGAGGACTATTTCTAATGTACGTGCTTTAGGTCGACCCAAGAACTATTCCGGTCCCTTGTAGGCTCCAGACATCTATGTACAGCATGTTTTCAGCCGACATTCTGTGTGGGGCGGAGAGGTCTTTTCAGCAGTAGTAACAGGAATAGTAACATCTCACATCTGTTGAGCAATGGCTGTGGTTTCAGTGGGGCCTGAGGTATACACCATGGATTAACGCTGGCAGAAATAGCCAAAATGATGTTATACAGAAAGAGAAAGAAAATGTAAAAACAGAAGAAATTCCGTTAATCTTTATAAATATTGAAAGCTACACTTTCCCCTCTTTTTAGTATGTCTTTAAGAAATGATCACTTGTTCCAGAGTCCTAGAAAATTCAGGGCCATCACTCTCCTTTTCATACTAGAATAGCTCCGAATCGCTGAGGTTCAAAACACATTTTAATGACTGAGTCAGTATCACCTGCTACCATGTAATGAGTAAGTTATAGTTAATACGCAAGCCAGAAGGAATAAGGCCAACATTGGATGGTGTTAATCATATGTGGAAAACAAACAAAAAAACAACGGGTCAGACAAAACCAAACTCCTAAGAATCCCTACACATCTGACTATAAATTGAGAACAGCAGATGGGGAAGGGGAAACTGGAGAATAAAGGTGGAAAAGGGGTCCCGATGGACTGTGGTGGAGGGTTACGGGTGACTTGGTGGTGGGGTGCAGTGGTGACACGCAGGGTGTGGCCCTAGTCCTCTGAAGCTCCTATACTGCTGTGCACCAATGGTACCTCAAAATGCAACAAACCCAAAAAACCTAAAAACAAAAGTATCCAAGAATCTATTAACAAGACCTTAAACACCTACATCCAACCACGTGACCCGGATCACCCACGGTAACTGCCACCTGATATCCTGAATTTACTATTCCTCTGCTTTCTTGTTATAATGTTATTGCACCTATGTATTTCATTAAAAGTTTACTGTTCCTTCTTGTTCTTATTTTCATTTAAAAAAGTCATCAGGTAACAGTAACAGTAACTGGGACTAACTTTCTTCCGTCATTTTCCCAAGGCTTATTTGCCTGCAGTGCACTGCTGAAGTGCTTCATCCTCACGGGAGCACAGCCACTCACTGACTTCCTCAGCGATGGCATTTGGGCTGCCAGGGGTTTCTGCTCTAGCTGGTACTGCTGTGACGAGTCACGCACCTGGTTTAGTCACATGACTACGTCCGCTCACGTGGGCACTCACTTTCCAAGGCCAGCAGTCTGTGAACGTTCAACCTTAGGTGAAGTTTCCCTAACCCTCCTCTGACACCCACACCCACATGGGCTAAAATCCTGTAAACCACTTGTTCCTCGTGTGGATGAACTTCAGGCTGAACTTTTGCCAACAGAAAAGTCATAAAGTAGTAACAAGTGTGGCCTTAAGTGGTTTCTCTGTGGTCACCAGTGATGCTGGGATCGCGTGAAACCTCTACCCACAATGCGTCGCTGGATTTTGTTAGTCTTCTCATTAACTGTATTCAATAGACTTTTTATACCAATGCTCTGTGAGCTTTACATCCTGAAAAGAACTTCTCCAATTCATAATTTCTTTTTACATTTAAGGAATCTTAACAATCTTTTTATTTCGTCAAACTTCTCGTTTCTAGTTATGCCTTTTGGTGTTACACTGAAGACCCCTTTCCTTATCTCTAAGGTTTCTAATATCTCCTAATAAAAATCTAACATCTGGTTTAGACATGAAAGTTTTTCATCTTCCCAGCGTCGACTTCTTTTTAACATGGCTGAGGTACAGGGCCATCTTCAGCTTTTTCCATTTTACTGCGCAGGAGACTCCTCCACCCAGCCGGGGCCACGTGACTGCTCCTGTGTCCCTCTTCTGTCGGTCCCAGGGCCAGTTTGGGACAATGGCTCCTAAGCCCCGGGACCTGGAAAGACACTAGCCTCACTCTACCTCTTCAGCCAAGGCCAGGATTGTATCATTTCTCTTACACTCCATGTGGGATGGCAGCAGACATCCTGAGCGGCCCTGGGTCCCCAAGAGGAAGACAGCAGCACCTAAAGCCATACATGCCCTTCTGCATGGTATTTTAGAACGGGAGCTAAGCTATGCAGGTGACGGGCATTCGTTTTTAAGTTTAATTAAAGAAAAGCAAACACCAAGGGAATGTTTTGCTTCCACTGTTCACAAAACAGAAGGTTGTTTTTCAAGGCACTTTTTGTTTCCATTTGTATTATTCACTTGGACTCACCGCCTGGCAGACACTGGCATTCCGGGTTTGGGTTATTCCTCCCACAAAGACCACACAGGTCAGGAGAATATGAAAGCACAAGTTCACAAGCATGTGCCAGCTCTTGACACTGACTCGAATCAAACTGTTAAAAGAAAAGGGAAAATATTAACGCCCAGGCCAGGACACTGGCAGCAGGTAGTAGGAGACTCCCCTGCAAGTCAACAATTTCAGCTGCAGAGACCAAACTTAAATATTTGATGTTTAAATATTTTGTTTAAAAATTATCCACTAGCAGAGACACACACAAATTGAGAAATTACTGAGCTTAATCCAGTTTCTTAACATTTAACTTCACACACTGAAGGAGCAGTCGCCAAGGAACAACCGCACCCACTAAGGCTGAACGGGTGCCCCAGTCAGAGGTGGCTTCTCACTGTGACAGCCGGGGCATCTGCTTGCCTCCTGCGATTTCTGCACAGTGCCAGTCCCGCCCGCCCCGACCTTCTGGGGCACATGTCTGAAGCCCAGCGCCTTTCTCCCTGGCCTCTCATAATGAAATGCTCAAGTCTTTCTTTCTCTCCTTTTTTTACATCAAAATCTCCCTTTGTTTTTTAACAAAATGTCAAGAAATGTCACATCTGTCCAGCTTAAGGAGGAAAATACATTCTAGCAAAACCTCTCGTAACATGAATGTGTGCTTAGGAAACAACAGTCAAATGATTTTTGCAAAAGCTACTTACTCTAAAGTGAGTTTCTGCTTAGCAAATCCTTTCAGTTGATTGCTTCTTGCCATGAAAGTAAAGGTGTCTTTAGCTTTGCCTCCCATTAACAAAAGCCGCAGCCCACACTTAAATGCCCAACTTTCTCATAAATGCCTTCTATAAAATAAAGCCTATCACAAAAGGCAAAAGGTAAGAAGTGGGAGCTGGTTGTGGAAGACACCTGTCAGGAGTCTTCCCTCACTCCCCACTGCTCCCTGGTCTCGGCCCAGCTGCTCATACGTACTTGCGTATTCGGTCCTAAGCCCAGACTCAGCAAACCGACTGGATGCTGTTAAGAGAGCACTTGGGCCCTCCCTGGTGGCACAGCGGGTTAAAGCTCAGCACTGAGAAGCTTAAGCCACTTCCGCATGAGTTTGGTCCCCACCTGCCCCGGAGCTGACCCACGTGGCGCAGCAGACCTCTCCTGACCCGCCCGCTGCTCCCCTCAGCAGTGTACTTCATCGATCTACCTGTTCTGCTCCCCACTCTGTCTCTTGGTGAATCCTCTCACCCTCTGCATCTCTGGCCTGTATCCCAGTTCTGTATAAATAAATAAATCTTTAAAAAAAAAAAAAAAAGAGCACTTGGCCGGCTCATGGGCTATAATTATTTATGTCCCGAATTGCATGAGATGAAGACGTGTCTGCATTCTACGGCAACCATTCTCACTTGAAGGGAGAGCACAGTGTTACAGTCAGCTGTACCCCAATTAAAATGAAACGAGCTCCCACAATCGCCGGGCACACGGGTCTGGGTCGGCCACGCCGTCTCCTCACCTGTGATGGTAGGCATAGCTGACGATGACGGCGAGGAGGCACAGGAGCAGAATGATGGCCGTTGTGTAGACCACAGGGTGCAGGAGGCTGGCCGCCTGGGTGTACAGCTCGGACCCTGTCAAATCCTGGTGGGGAAGCAAGCATCGCTCAGGAACTCTTCCTTGGACCCAGAGCACCTGAGATTGTCTCCAGTGACTAACACACACCGATGAAGGGAAGCCGGGTCCTGCCGACTCTTCCCGTGAGCCATAGTCTGATGCTTCGGGCTGCTTTCCTCATGCATATTCCACCTTCTTAACTTTCACTGTGCTAACTACTCCATATGTGTGCGCATGCGTGTGTGTGCTCACATATATCTCCATACAAACTAGATCAACTGCTTCCTAAGTCTCAATGTTGACTTTGCTCTGAGGGACACAGAGAGAAAGCCGCATCCCACGTGTGGGTGAGTGAGAAGGCAGGGCCACGCAGATGTCTCCCTTGCAAAGCCCTTTCACTCCCCTCATCATGCTGCATTGTCACCAGATGGTAGCTCAACAAAGCCTAAATATGCTTCTCCAATGATCCCGCGTCAAGAGTCAAGCGCAACAAGCACAGTGGGCCAGGGGTGGGGCGGTAGCGTTGAGCGGGAGGCCGGCCCTTGAGAAGCTGAGTGTCACAGGAGACAGACACACAACCAGACCCCAACCACGTCTGATGAAGCTGATAGCAGCGTGGCTGCAGGAGCAAAGGATGGAAAACTCAGAAGAGCCAACGAGAGTGGTCATTACATGGCGTGGCCCATAACCATACCACACAGGGGTTAACCTGTGAGCTAGGGTATTATTAGCCCATTTTAAAGCTTTAGAACCTGAGGCCTCAAAGAGAACTATATTATTAGTCCTATTTTAAAGCTCTGCAAACCGCAATGAGGACTAGATTCAAAGGAGGGAGGCTGTTGAGTCAGCTGGCGTGCGTGGACGGAGCCTCCTGACACATATGAGCACCGATGGGCTCCTTCCTTATAAAGCACCAGCGCCGGCCGGAGAGACGCTCCACCCTGGCCACGGACACCAGGCCAGAGGACAGGGCCGCAGGGAGACACCAGGCCTGAGGAAAGGGCTGCTGGGTCAGAGCCACAGATTCACCAGACTCGTCATCTGAGTCTCTTTCTACACAACTGCAAAGCTCCATGTGACAACTGGGTGCGGGAAGGCCACAAGCATCTATCTTGAACAGGACAATCGGGAGACAGGCGCCAAACAGAACAGCTGGGAGTGGTCGGGAAGGGCGCAGGTGACAGGCGAGGAGACCGAGGACGGTCCCGACAGAGCAGGAGCAGGGGCAGATTCCCCCCAGCAGAACCCCAAGCTGGCAACAGCAGATGTCCCGGGAGACCTCCACAAGCCCCTCGCCCCTGTGGATGAGAGGCCCCCGGAGGCGGGAAGAGCACAGCAAGCGACGAGACGAGAGGAAGGCAGACACGGGAGCTGAAGGCCAGCCTGCCTTCCACCTGGAGTCCACGCCAGTAATCACCGACTCACACGGCGACGTTAACTAGACACCGTCCCAGGGCATTCAAGGCAACGTGGAACAGGGTCCAGCCCTGGAGGGCACACAGTTTATCAACAAATACCAGGGGTTGGACAAGGAGAAGCCATCGCTACACACAGTGCATAAACCCCTCGTGAGACGTCCACAGGCTGTGTGTGGGATCTCCAGGTGCCTGAGTCCTGCCCGAAGGCAGAACCTCACTGGGAAAATTCAAAAATCATGGGGCAATGAGAATCAGCAGCAACAGACACCTCACCCCTCAATTTCTATGAAGAGCCACCATTCAGGACAGAACAACTGAGGATAACCTTTCAATACCTGGGAGGTAGACTCAGACGTTCCTTGTACCACCTGCTCGCAATTTCCCAGGAAACGTCAGTAATACAGTGCCAGTTACCTGCTAGCTCTGTGAATTGGGGGCGCTGGTGTCACGGCCCAGCGGGGACCCCACTGTCCCCTGCACAGGTGCAGAAGGACCAGGAGGAGGATGTGGCAGAGAGACAGAAAACAGGGTAAGTGGGTATTAGTCAACAGAGTGTGTAACCTAACAAAAAACATCAAAGAGCCAACTCTGTTCCCAAAATGCAAAGTCTTATCATACTTAAGTTTCAAAGAAATCGGTAGCTCCTATAAGTCAAATAAAAGGGCCATTCTAGGAGAAAGACATGGGCAGAGCTTCCAGTAGTGACATTCCAGGTCACTACTGGAAAAGACACAGGCCAGGGTCAGGCAGGGCCGGTTCTCACACACCAGTATGCTGTGGTCGTCCCGACAGACAGACCTGCCCAGTGAGACAGAAGCCCCGCTGGGGAGGTGATGAGGGACCGTGGTCAAGGCTGGAGAGTAAATATTTCATGTTTTGCAAGCCAAGAAGCAAAGGGAAACTCTTCTGCAGGTACTTATTACCCACTTAACAATATAACCAGGAAAAAATTTAAAACCATACTTAGCTTTCCAGCTTTTGAAACAGAGAGGTAAACCACAGCTGATGACACCAGGCCTGTGGGCCAGATGTTTGCCAGGGTGTGAAGACTCCTGGGAGAAAGGAAATCAATCTAGATAAGAAACCTGACTTCATGGCAAAGTGCAAGAGAATATAAGGTTATTTAAGGCACGCCTAGGAAGTCGAGAAACCAAAAGGTCCAATACAAGAGTGGTAAGGTAGAATTCTGGATCAAAGTATTTCCAATTATACTGGTAAAAGTTCTCATCAAAGGAAGTTACTTCACTTTTGTATCTACATGAGATGCCCGGTGTCACTGGGCTTATGTGGTAATCAGTTCACAATATATGCAGGTCAAATCATGCTGTAGAGCAATTCTAGCTTGACGGACACAAGAGAAAAAAAAATCAACATGAGTAAGACAGGGAAGACTTAAGCAAAAGCTCACAAACAGAGTGCCCAAGTGGCCAGTAAGAAAATGAGAAAATGGCCCAACACCCTGGTCAGAGACAGCAGCAAGTTCAAGATGAATGAAACAGCCTCAGGCACAGAGGCAGTGAACACTCACAGTGAACCCACAACACTGGCTGGCTGTGGCACCAACCATCCCCCCCTCACTACTGAGGTTTTTATTTTCTTGCATTCTCACCCCTACGGATCTTTCTGCCCCAACTGGCTATTTAATATCATATGATTCAAACAAACCCAATTTCTGCTTAACTGTTTTTCCTGGATCTCAATGACACCTTATACTGTAATTGGTAGAAGTGGGTAGAAAGTGAAGTGAATGATGACACCTGTTAGATTTACAAATACATATATTCTTGGTCTTCTTTAAACACACAATTCCTTAAAACCAGATCAGGAAAAGTTTTAATAGCTAGCTGCCCAAAAATGAATTTAGTCTTGCTTTATAAAACCACAATTTAAGATGGTTTTTAAGAAAACTGTAGTTAACTATTAATACTATCTATTATTCAAAGGTTTCCCAGAAAAAGTTGACTTTTAATTTTTTTAAAATATTTCTCATTAGATATAACTTTAAGAGCAGGTAAGATTCTATTAACTTTGCCTTTACATTTAATTAGCAACTGTGAAAGGTCTGTTAACTTGATTATAATTTTGTTGTTAAGTTCAGTCATATACATAAACTGCCACTAGGTGGCGCAGTTTCATTTAAGAAAAGTCAAGGCTATTTGAAAATAGAAAATCACAGCACTTACTGCGTTTTAACTTTAAAGAACTGTACATTGCATTTTTTGCAAGATTAAAAATATGAAGATAAAAGAATAGCTTATTTCTTTTATAAAATAATATTACATTAATTTAAATGTAGGAGAACAGCTAGGAAGTTCAAAAATGTTTTAAAATGATTAAATAAAAAAAGGTTTCACATGGTACGTTACTGCGTCATTAAGATTTGTGTTTATAAAGTGCCTTTTGTGTAAGTCCTGTGCTTCCTTTCTTTGGCCCAACTTTTTCCAGTTAACTACTAGACACATTTCACATAATACCACACATAACTATTATTTCTACATGAGTATTTCACAATTTCACATGATTTCAAACTCAAACCTAAATGAGACAACACCTCAAAATAGAAGAGAAAATTACTAAGACTTCATGCTTTAATCTGAAAGGTGAGTGCAAAATAATAAAATGCGCACTTACAGAAACCAGGTTGAGAGTTACAGAAAACACCCTCTGATAGAGAAAATCCTAAACTATAGTGTTAAATTCGAGTTCAAGAGGATAAATGACACATAAAACAGCTGGACCTACCGAGGACTTCAGGGGCCTAAAAAACACGTATTCTGGGAAGTAGCTGAAAACAACACCCCTTTATAAAACCCATTTCCTCTACCTGTCTGCCTGTCTCCTAAGGTGAAATATACTAAGTTGAGGAGCAGAGAGATAGCCAAAAGATGGCTGAGGAAAATCTACTCTAATTCAAGCTTACTTTAAGATTCTTTTGAGCAGTAGTATTTTTTTTTAAGAAAGAAAATAACTCACAAAACCTAAAATAGATCTTATTTCACATTATCTAAGCAACAGGTTCATAAATCGGGAGAAGAAAAAGCATAGGCGTATTCTCTCCCAAAAGCGCCTCCCCCCTAGAAAATGCCTTAGATCCATCAGAATTGCTTCTACTACTAAATGTGTGAATATAGACCCTGAAATGTTAGCACAATAATTATAAAATAAAAACTTGAATGGTCAAATGCTCAAAAATTTTTTCATGTAAATAAACAGAAACAGCACTCTCAAGCCCCTCGAGAATCCATCAAATTGTACCTGCTAGGAATGTTCTATTTTCAGAGGGCAAGTGAAATGTACAATAAAAGATCTATGCTTTGGTAAAGAACTAGTTATTTTACCAAAGATTAATAGGTGTAAGAATGATAAATAACAGAAAACATTAGCTTAATTAGCATTAAAATTGAAAAGGCATGATTTGTGTCAATTCTGTCACTTGCAGTGACTACACTAAAATGATCATCATTACTCTACATTCAAAAGGAGTCCGAAAATTATGTTGTGACAAAGCAGGAAAATCCTCTCTATTTCATTGTGTCTTTGTGCAAACGAGTCCGTTTCTAGGTTGACTGTTGAACTGTATATTCCCAAGACAGCTCCAAATTACCAGAAGGTTAAAATTTAGTCGCACTGATTTACTTTGCAAGTAGAATGCAGCACTCTCCTGCCTTCCTGTGGCTATGCAGGTGCCTCTCTTTTTCTCTCATCGGTCCTTTCAAAATGCAAATAAACATGCAAATAAATAAATAAATGCGCAAATGAGCAAAACCAGATTCAGTCTGAAATGTTTCATTTAGTAGTAAGTCAATTTCCCTTGAAAGCCAGATTCACACCCAACAGCACCTCTCACGTAATTAAAAGGCTCAGGTTATGTCAAAAGTTTTTTTAAAAAAGCAACAACTAAAAACTGCAATTGAGTCTAACTCAACATGGGGGGGCGGAGGGGGGAAACGTGGGCCAGCAGGGTCTCTACATCAAGCGAACCACCACATACCATCAGGAGCGCGTAGTTACTGAGCGAATAGCACTGAATGGCCGTGATGTTCGCGTCCGAGTAGAGGATATGGCACCCGTCAGACTTCCAACCTCCTTGTCCGTTCAGCAGGTCGAAATCCCACTGGGCGGCCACACCATCCGCTCCGTGTGCGATCCGACGCAGCGTCACGTTAACCGGGATGTGCCGGGTGTCCACATTCACACCATCTAGAGAGAGGGAAATGAGAAGATTCCAGAAATAGACTTCATTTGCACTGAAATGGCGACGTCTACCTAATGGATGCTCTGAGATTAATAAGTGCTCTGGGATAAACGCAACGGAACAAAAATGAGCATTTCAGAGCAGGGGACGCTACTCAGTGTCGGGCAACTACAAGACCACGCGCACCGATCTTGGCGAGGATCACGGGAGTAACCACCGTGCGCCGCTTGCCATCATCAGCCAGGTGCGTGGAATTCCCGGTGGCTGGGAACAGCTTTCCGTTGCGGAACGCGATGAGTTGAAGCTTGTAGACAGAGTCATCGGTGGGTCTGACCTCTCTTTTTTGCTTGGGTGAGAAAAGAGAAGGCGGTAGCTGAATGGAAGCCTCCACAATTGTATTCTGAAAACAGATTTAAAACACAAAAACAGAGAAGAGATGCCATGTTAGCATGCAGAAACCGGGTTCAGAGGTATGTTTTCGCATCAGATGCTGAATCCATGTCTTAAATACACATGCAAAATTGAATAGTTCAAACAAATTATCCGTTAATTGTTATGTCTGAACAATACATAAAAGCCAAGAACAAAAGCAGCATAAAATCAAAAGATATGCAGATTTGATTGCAAAGACTGAAATAAACAAGAATTCTTACAATCGACAAAGTGAATGTTCCCTATTGATGAGGCAAGCAGCTTTGAAAGGAGTCAGGGAAATCAAGTGATGTCTGTGCCTTGGCAATGACAGAGTAAATAAGCACAATTGCAATCTATCATTAATGCGAGTGTAATTAATTTGGGCTTATGGAACTTTAAGGTGATTTATGATGGAATCAAACTTCCAGACAACAAAAGAAAAACATAATAGAAGCTGAAATTCAGCAAATTTTCATTTTACTGAAGTTTCCCTGAGACTAAGAAACATTATATGTAAAAAAAAAAAAACAGTAACAAATAGGAACAAGGGAAAATGCTGATAGATCATGTTTTCAGACATTAATTAGAAATGTTTTAATTATAAAAGACGACATTCAATAAAAAAATGAATCTATACACCCAGGCAAGCAATTAACTATCTTTAAAAATCCCTTATTTTAAGAACTTATGAGTCTTTCTCCTGGCACTAAGCTCTCCTCCTCCAATGCAGTATTCACACTGCCTACAGAATTTCCTCCTAGGAGTCAAATCTAACCCTCTATTTCTTCAGTTAAACTAACAGTCTGGTTCTCCCACGTTCAGCGAATACTGGCCTCAGACCCTAAGTATGTCCTGTCATTTGAGTGAGAAGTACATCTTGAGTTCACCTTCTAACAGTCCCCATATTATACCTTGTCATCCAGAAAGTGCATTTATCATGTGTTTTCAATTTTCGAACTATTTATTTGGCAAACATTCAAGTATCAAACAAAAGGCATTTAAAAAAATGATCACCAAAATAAATTGCAAATAGCTAATGAATGTTTCTGGGTAATATAGTAATATGACAAACTGTTGGCTAGAAATATTTTCTGCCATAACATGAGCAATCTGTTTATCAAGATTGGCTATGTGTGGTTCCATGGGTATGCGATGAAAATTAAACCTTGTAAAATGTAAAAGTTTTATTTACTTTGTCTTTTTATTGAAGCACCATTGGTTTACATACTTGTTAGTGTTTAGACAGTACGAACCCCCCCTCAGGCACAGTCATCATTGTGGACCCACCACCAAGGCACCCACAGTCCATCACCAAGACGTTATCTTAGTCCACTGTGCTCCCCTCCTCCCCCAAGGGATGCCGCTGGTCCAAGGTCAGCTTTCAAGAGTTGGTCATAAAGTTTGTTTTTGATCCTTTGTTTGGTTTCTCTGTATTTCACACGCAAGTGGCATCTTCTGGCATTTAGCTTTTTCCTTCTGGCTTATTTCTGAATTTACCCATTTTTAAGATCTGTTTCATTCCCCTGTGCACACAGCACATGTGTGTATCTGCGTATGAAATGTTACACTGCTCTTTCAGCTGGCAAACTCTTGAACTAGTCTAATTTGATTTGGGGCAAGATAGTTCCAATGGCAATACAAAGGGTGATTGAGAATGAGAATGATTGAGAACCATGCCAAAGACTACACAAAAAGTCTTACACAAGGAGATTCTTGGATTCTAATTCCACTGTCTCCTCAGGTTGCTGCTTCTACATTAGTTGCTCCCTCTTCTATACTCAGTGGCATTCTGCACCCATCTCCACTAGAGCTAACATCTGCAGTGGCACAGGGAGCCACTGACAGTTTAACAGTTTCAGAGGGATTAATGTAATTTTTGACCCATTTATTAACAAACTTCCTGGCATTTGTATTTGAAAGACAAATGTGGCCCACTACTTAAGAAATTAATGAAAAGCTGCATGGTATGTTTATGGAGAAAAAAAAAAAGTTCTATTAAAGCAAGTAATTAAGTTTAGAATTAGTTTTCAATTGCTATGCTTAAAACAATGTTAGGACAGAACAGACACCCATAAGTACTGTTAAAAGTATTTTGGGAGTCTGAATACTGACAGTTCGATTATTATTTTTAAATGTAAGATGCCAAGAAAATACTTAGTAGAAATAGAGTTTTTACTGTTCTCATAAATACATCCTAATGAGGAAACAAAATGCATTATAAATTCATTTGTAATCTACCAAATTCCTGTTAGATATATAATTTTTTTTAAGTATATAATGAGGCACACAAAAAAGAAAAAGTCAGTAGTTAACAGTCAACTAAAAGGTTTCCTGAAAAAGTATGATATATATTGGACATTTACAAAAATTTAAGTTACTGTAACATTCACAAGATAACACTATTTTATACGTAACATGAACCAAAAATCTAAAAATAAGGTATAATAACGCTCTTGTAAAGCATTACTTATGAGAAATCAAAAGGATTTGAAAGGAAGTCATAGCTAATCTAAATGAAAACTGAATAACATCTGTGATTTCTAGCAGTCAAAAAAGGTCTTCAACACAAGTATAATCTTATAAACCAAGCAAAGAACAACAAATTAATAACTAAGTTGTGTGGCAACACTAACAGAGAAGAAAGACACGTTGAAAGCTGGCAAAAACTTATGACTTCTAAAATATCCTCAGAGCCCAATAAACAATGTTATTCAATAATACTTATAGCTTCCCTGGGTGGATAAAGAGAGTAGAGTGACCCAGGGATTTTGGAAAGCAAACAGCAACTCTATCAATAATGTTTAGATTTTTACAGTTAGAAGTAAAACTTATTTAACTGCTTTAAAAGAAGGGTTGATCATTTTCTAAGGAAAGGTTATAAATCTAATTTAAAAAAAAATCACTGAGGAATATTTATTTAATTTGTTACATTCATCATGATTATATCTGTTTGCTACTTGGCCTTAGGACAAGGAACACACATATAAAATTTCATTTAACCATTTATTTAGTTTTCAAGTATATAGATTATAGTGATAGTGATGGAAATAGAGATAAACTCACAAAGTAGAGCTAATAAATTAGAAAAATCACTCTTAAAGATCTGGGTACGTGCACATGTTTGAGCTCCCATATTTGCTACTGAAGATCACACACCCCTGATGGGAAGGAGGATCTGAAACAAAGACCAGGAACTGGGTTCAGCTTCATCACTTGGAAGCTGCTTAACTGAACAATCTTGTCTATCTTGAAGTCTCGTTGGCCACATTTTGTCAGTATCCTCTTAACAAACAGTTCTGAGGACCAGCGGGATCATGGAGTCATAAAGGTTACATATCTGTGGGTGGATGCTTTTATTATTATTTGCAGCAGTTATCTGGAAACTAGGGAGAGAAGAAACATCTTAAAGCAAGTGACTTGTCAAAAAATCATCTAGAACCTGGTCACATTTTAACTTCTGTAGTTCAATTTGGTATTAATTTTAATACTAATAACTGGTCAAGTATGAAGACACATGAAGTGACTACTTGACTTGCCATGTATTTGTCCCTACTTGCAATGACACTAGATGAAGAAGAAAATGCTAAGTATCATGGAGGACCATAGTGCAAAGGCTTCTGCTACATTTCAGCATCTTTCAAAACAATCTGGACTCTGCTCTTATGCAATTAAAATGTTCTGAAACCCAAATTTTGTTTTGGTGTACAGAATTCCAACACTAAACTTGGAATGTGTCCAAGAGCACATGACTTAAAAACAATAAAATACTAATTTATTAAGTTCTCTTTCCTATCTTCACTCAATTTTTAGCAGATAGACATTATGATACATCCGAATTATGTCTTGTGTTATTAACTGTCTGCCACCTTTTATCTCACTGTAGATGATTAACAGGGATTATGCTTGATTTTAGAATTAATTTTTTACCTTTCTTTGCTAATTAGGTTTGGCCATTAATTTTTTTTTTAAAGATTTATTTATTTATTCATACAGAGCTGGGGTACAAGCCAGAGATGCGGAGGGTGAGAGGATTCACCAGAGACAGAATGGGGAGCAGAACAGGCAGATGGAGGAAGCACACTGCTGAGGGGAGCAGCGGGCGGGTCAGGAGAGGTCTGCCGCGCCATGTGGTCACCTCCGGGGCAGGCAGGGATCGAACTCATGTGGAAGTGACTTCAGCTTCTCAGTGCTGTGCTTTAACCCACTGAGCCACCAGGGAGGGCCGGCCATTAATTTTTAATCAACAACATTCGTGAATGTTTTGTGACTACAGACCCAGAGACACACAGGCATGGTCCCTGGCCTCAAAGCTGTAACCCAACAATGGGGGAGACAATGACACTAAAGCAACAATCACAAGAGCTAACATATAGGCATTGTTTCAAATGACTGTATTTTTGCATCATTTAGTTCTTTCAGTCATTTTTAAGATTAGTAACCATTTCATGATTCTTCTGTAACAAAATATCTGATATTCAGAGAGGTTAAGGTACTTGCCCAAGTTTGTACAGCTCTTAGGTGGTAGAGCAGAACATGAGCCCGAGCAGTCTGGTGGTGGCAGAGACCATATTCTTGTAACTATGGTAACTACCATATCCCTTGGCCTCTCATTATCTCTCAACTCACCATCCTGTCATATCAGATACTAATTATTCTCCAAAATGAACAAACCACTGTGGGAATACCTGACAATGATAAATCCTGTCTGAAGAAAAGAAAGCAGGTGCCATCTTAATGGAGGAAGGAGGCAGGGGCTTCCCAAGCAGACACAGTACTGAGGGCACAAAGGACAGAAATGAAGGCATACATGCCAGGTCTGGAAAGCCAAAAGGACTCCATGCTGGGCTAACAGTCTAGACATCTGAGATGGGGAAATGCCGGGTGCGAAGAGGAGAAACTAGTACGTACCAGTGAAGAAGAATAATTTTGATAAATCAGTTCTTTGTGGCTACATTACAAATGAGTTCAAAACACCAATATTTCTCAAAGCTCTTAGTAGTTAACAAAGAACTTATGCTAACATCTGAGTTGTGGTACCAACAACGCAAGAAAGCATTTGGTTGACGACAACTAGATGGGGTGCTTTAAGAGTTAGAAGACAGGCAATTCTACCTCGAACAGACCGAAGATTGAGGCTGGCAGTGGAATTCAAACACCCCTCAACAAACCTAAGCCCCCAAAGGAAGAAAGAAACAATGGCACCACGTGGAACACACAACTTTAAAGACATGAGCAGAGTGTGCTGTGCCAGGGAGGAGGGGAATGATGAGGTTGGAATGCACATTATCAGGTTAAGATTTCCTGACGGCGATACTCCTGCTGGATTTTAGTGCACAGGTAATGAACTGGGACGTGAGAGAATATGGGATTCTTGAAGCATTAGCATGAGCCTGGCCTTAGACTGCCGAGCAGTTGGGAAAGGAACCAAGGGAAGTTGGCTATGGCTAGGCAAAAGGGACAAGAAATCAGAAGAGATGTGGAGCACAGAGGCAGATAAATGCCAACGAGCAAGCTTCCCGGCGGCCTCCCAAGAGACACACACAGGATCTTCAAAGTCAATTTCTAAGTTAGACTGACCCAGGGATAATACTGGCCATAATTAATTTTTTCTTTTTTAAAAAGATTTTAATTATTTATGCATACAGAACTGGGGTACAAGCCAGAAGTGCAGGGGCGGTGAGAGGATTCACCGGAGACAGAGTAGGGAGCAGAACAGGCCAACTGACTGAAACACACTGCTGAGGGGAGCAGCGGGCATGTCAGGAAGGTCTGCCGTGCCATGTGGGTCACCTCCAGGGCCAGGGATGGAACTTGCACTGAAGTGGCTGCAGCCAGCTTGCATTGCTGCATCCTAACCTGTTGTGCCACCAGGGAGGCCTAATTTTTTTCTTTTTAATGATGGTGGTCACACTGGCGTACAGCAGCACTGCATGTGACTCGGGGGACAGGCTCTGTCTCTCCCTTCCTGAGATGTGAATCACCACACCGTACCTGACAGTAGAGCATCCATGTCCGTCAGGCCGCAGTCCACCAGGGCCTCAGCCTTTGTTCCTAGCTCCACCCCTGCTTCAAGCAGCAGCCTTTGTCCAGTCAGGCTGTTTCAGCTTAGTTTGACAGCTGATGCTGGCAACATTAACAGCCGAAAATGACATCCACACGATCTAAATGTCCTCGCAGAGAAGGTGCTGGCCTGTGCTCTCGGCCCTCCAGGGGAGCAGGGTTAACAGACTGGTGTGTCCCCATTCTGAGGACCGAGGTACTCAGAACGAAGCTGTAGACAGATGCACTAGGGGATGGGGCAATGGCTCCTTGTAAAGAATCCGGAGACATTTTGATAGCATACTAACAGGCTTGGGGCACTGACACAGCCATCCTCTGCTCGACCAGTGGACACGAGAAAGATGGGGTTTGAAGGAAGGGGGGAGACGCGGTGACTACAGAGATCATGATGGCTTAGGTAATATGGAATGGGAAGCCAAGACCGGCTGTGACGGTGTCACGAGAGGAAGACAGAGCTTCAAGGAGTCCACAGGAAGCAATCAGGTAAGGCTCCTTTGAAGCCATGGGCTGTGTCTTTCTGGGTCTTCATACCTAGCACACCCTGCCATTCGAGGATAACATAATCCCCTGTTTGATGTTCAGGTTGTCCAGTGAGAATAATCAAAGTGCAAAGAAAAAAAGGAGAGGCATAAGCAAAGGGAATAAAATTTGCCCAACTATAAAGTTTAAAATACACAGAAAGTTCTCTATTAAAATGCTAAGACATTTTTGCTACTGACATTAAAAATGTTAACGAGTTTTGTGAGGCGAAGGAAATGATCCTCACTCAGTTCAACTGTGTCCATCTCTGAAGTAGGAGTAATTGTGTCGTGTCCTTGGTTTTCTGACCACAGGATGATCTTAAACGGACAGAATGCCATGAACTTGACAAATCTGAGAGTTCATTTAAAGGCTTCTACTTTAGCAGGGAGAAATTCTCTTTACCCAGAGGGGCAGGGTGTGAAATTGATGAAATGTATGGTTTCATCATTTTTAATCTCTTTCTACCAACGATCATGTGAGATAGAATGGTTCATCAATTTTAAGTGTTCCTCAGAGACAGAGGTTTCTCTCTCCTGGGCTTGTGTGTGATGCTGTTTTTAAGCCATTTCAGGTGTGCTTTTACCAATGGGAAACTAAAAAAGAAAAGGATAGATCTGCAGGCGGGGCTGGGCAGCGCAGCGCAGACTCTCCCAAGTCCAGCAGGGCCAGGGAGTCATGCCCATTTCCCTCTGAGTATATGGCACCCAGTCACTACTGATCCTTTAGCCACTCTCACCTGGCTGAGGCTATACCGGGCAACGGGGAAGACGGGCTATTTCTGAATAGTCCATCCGCTCCCCTTACGGAGGCCAGCTGGGTAAGAAACAGCACATTCTTTCAGTCATCACCCATCCAGTATTTACTGAGTACCTACTATGGTCCAGCGCTCACATTTGAGCGATTTCTTGGGCATCCCTTTGAGTGACTTCTTATGCAGTCATTAAAATGTCTGGACCATTTGTGATAATCATTCAGGACCAGCCAAAAACCCAGAAAGTGCCATGTCATTAAGAATCAGCAGGGGCCCTCCCTGGTGGCGCAGCGGGTTAAAGCACAGCACTGAGAAGCTTAAGCCACTTCCGCATGAGTTCGATACCCGCCTGCCCCGGAGATGACCATATGGTGCGGCAGACCTCTCCTGACCCACCCGCTGCTCCCCTCAGCAGTGTTCTTCTTCGATCTGCCTGTTCTGCTCCCCGCTATTTCTTGTGAATCCTCTCACCCTCCACATCTCTGGCCTGTACCCCAGTTCTGTATGAATAAATAAATAAATCTTTAAAAAAAAAAAAAAAGAATCAGCAGGAACACAGTTACTCGTGGCATCACAATGCTAACTGAAAAGGCGTCTGCTAGATGAGTGTCACCACTGTACCTCTGCACCGTGTTGATCCTAAATTGCAGAATCAGTGAAAATGCACCCTTTTCGCTTGCTGCAATAAAACCTGCATTTTCTTAAGACATATCACCTATTTCCGCTTTGCCAAAAGTCTTGACAGAGTTCTTCTGACGAAAGCCCAGCCTGAAGACTGACTCTTCATGGGGTCCAGTGGGAGATCAAGGACTTGCCGACCTTTAACGACCACTGGGGATACTCATCCAGGGACAAGCCAAAAACCCAGAAAGTACTGTGTCATTAAGAATCAGAGAGAACACGGTTCTGTGGAACTTTATAAAACAAGGTGGATAAGAATGAACTTTAAGGTCCAAGAAAACCTTTGAATAGGTAGTATTAACATATTCATTTCTAGCAATCAGCATAAAATAAAGCTTTTAATACATTGGTGCGGAGAAATGGTTCCAAATGGCACAAGCTGTCTGGGGCCCAAGTCCTACATGGCCCTTTGTGGTCTGAAATTCTTTTAAAGCAAATGCAAGCTCAATCACACTAATCATTCTCCCTTCAAATAACTTATTTTTTATAACTTCCAACGTGGTTCATTATATTGAGCCAATATAAACACTCAAGGGTGGTTGATGGACTAAAATACACTTCACAATATAGGAATTCTAAGTTGGCCAATATTTTTAGTTGCAAATAACTTTTAATAAGACTTTTTGCACAGTAATATTCTAGCAGAATCATATGTGATGACAAACTCAACATACCTTTAGTGCCAGACTTGAAAATGTGTTTGAAACATTGCACTTAAAACTCAGCTGCTTGTCGAGGTTTCCATCCGGGTCCCGCCTCCCATAGTCAGAAAGCCCCGAGCGGTCAGAGGCGGCCACTTTCTGGAACACGGTGCATGTCATCCCCGTGAAGCCAGCAGCCTTGATGACGTACGCTTCCAGCGCAATGTTGGGGGAGTTCTACAAAACCCAGTCAGACAGAAGTAGTCATGGAAGATGCGTAATACAAGGAAAAGCATTTGAAAGACTTTTCAAATACATAACACTCGACTTAAAAGACGAAGCTCGGGTTCTTACTAAGCAAAAACCAAGGGAAATAACATGAATGAATGAATGAATGAATGAGATGTTGGGTGCACAGGATATTCTGAAACAGAAAGGAGAGCTAGACATGAAAGAAAAATCAAGTTAATTTGAAGAGCTTTTGTAGGAAACAATGTGCTGAAGATGGAAGTGTTTTATAAAAAAATTAAATCGGGCAGAGACACCTTGATGATGGGGTCGGGAGGGGAGCAGGTTTGGGAGGTGCCCTGCACACCATGCTGTGCCTTGTTCGCTTTGTTCTTTTACAGGGAGACTTTGCATTAATTTTCACTAATAAAAACTTCACACAGGCAAACTCCATGGTTGTTTCTTCCCCAAGAGAGGGAGGTACAAGTCTAAGGAGGAGTAAGCAAAACAGGTCAGCAACATCACCTGGAAAAAGCCTCTCCATGCCCCAATAATTGTAAAGAATTCGAGAGAAAGACTGAACACAGGGACCCTCCGGAAAGCTTGAGCCGAACAACCCTAGCAGCTGTCCAGCCCACACCGAGCGGACCATGAGAACCAGCCTGTACAGAGCCACAGCAGACCAGAGAGCGGATGATTATTACAAAGCTGCCGCTCACGTGCCGGGTAAGGTGACAGAGATGACCTCAAGTTCCTGGGATGATAAGCGGCCTCTTTCCTTCCTTTCATGATGACTGAGCGTGTGTCTAGACTAGTCAAGGCACCATTCTAAGTCCTATTTTTAAACCAAGATCTCTTCTGAAGATTTTTTTTAAACCATAAAAAGTCTGGTGCAAGCTGTCTAAAATCTATTAGGATTAGCCACAGACTAGAACATGTAAAATGTAAGGAAGAACTTGCCCACTACCATGTATGTACATTTGTGTGTGTGTGTATTTATACATGTATTATGTATTATAACTGTGGGTTCCCCAAATTGTTAAGACCAGCGAATATATGCATTAGCTTTTGCCTCACACAGAGTGGAAACTCATACTAATCATCATCAAGACAAAGTAGTGCAGCCTCAGCTAAGAGAAGGGATTCTGCCGTTCTGAGGTTCCCAGGAAGCTGTACCACAAGTACATCTATCAGAAATAGCAATCCGATTCTGAGACAGTTCTTTGGTCTGAGTAATAACCAAGGTAAAGACTGGAGTTTAAAATGGGCCTACATGGCTGGGGAGGACCACGCGTGGTCGGGAGAAAGGCATGCTGGCTTCAAGTAGGCCCATGTCCGAGCGGCTTCCAAGACAGCTGCCACAGGAGGCCTTTGCTTTCTTTAATCAGTCAGGAACGTGATCTAACTCAACTGAACAAAAGGAGCAATAAACCCCAGTATCTTCAAAAAGACTCATTTGTCAGTGGAAAAATACTGACCCTGAAGTTCATAAAAATCATAGGGGAAAGTACCCAGATGAACACAGAGAATCAGGAAATGGAAAATCTGGAGCAGAAAAGAATGTGATTGCTAAGTATATAGCACCTTATTCTTCACACTGGCCACATTTTAATGTGGTAATGTAGAACTAGGGAGTTTCAAACTGTGACCTCAGCATAAACAACGTGTTACTATTTAATTTAATGATTATGAATTATAAGCAACTCATTATCACAAGAATAGGATTGAGTGACAGTGACAGTAGGTTCACCAGGGCTTAGAGGGCATCCCAGTTCCCCTATGAAAACTGAGCAACTAGAAGCATCCTAGAAATCTCAGAATATTCTTCCAGTACCAGAACAGATTACCCACTAGAATATATGATAAGCAGGTGAGAACAATGTCCTTATTCGTGTTGCAGAGCTTGGAGGATGACATGGTTACACCAACCACATTTAGAGAATAAGAAAGTAATTTCAAACTACTAAGAACAGATTACTCAAAAGCAAAATCTGCGAAAGCAGAAAATGCTGTAATCAGCAGCATTAACAGAAAACACCCACCCTATCATGACGTAGACCTATCTCTTCCGGGTAAGTAGTTTTATGTTTTTTCCACCTTACTTATTTTTGTATAACTTACCTCAGCGTTTGTTTTTCACAATGCTTGCTTTCGTTTCTCAGGTGTGTCCCCATAGAATGTCCGCCACCAATTCCTCCATGCAAAATACCCACAGTGCCCTGTCTCCCTTCCCTTGCTCCGATAACTCCCACTCCCTTGCAGAGTCTCTCTGGTTTATAATTGTCTGTTTATTTCTGTTCTTACTTTCCCCAGATGCCTTATTTGGTTCCCCTATATTCCTCTTATAAATGAGACCATATGATATTTTTCCTTTTCCTTCTGACTTATTCCACTGAGCATAATTCCCTCTAGTTCCATCCATCCTCTTGCTGCCAATGGCATGAGTTTATCTTTTTGATTGCTGCATAGTATTCCATTATGTATATACACATTTTCTTGATCCAGCCATCCATTTTGAAACATTTGGTTTGTTTATAGCCTGTATGGAGGCTCCTCAGACTTCTAAAAATTGAGCTACCATAGGACCTGGCAGTCCTAGTGCTAGGGCTCTACACAAAAGACACGAAAACACTGATTCCAAAGAATACCTGTACCCCTATATTTATTGCAGCACAATTTATAATGGGTGAGTAGTTTTAGATGCAACTTTTTCTCAGACTTGGAGGAAGGAGTCACACTTACTGTTGAATAAACATGAGCCCCATTCGCCAGCCGGTAGGTGGCGACACGTTGGAGACACTGCACGATCCTGCTGCAGGCCTTCGCCTCCCTCTGCGCCAGCCACAGGACACGCTCATCAGCCAGCATGATGTTACTTGCAATGTCGACCATCACGTCACCCAGCTGCAGGCAGGCAGGAGGGAAGAGGAAAGTCTTACGACCAATGACTATATTTAGAACATCACAATCCTAAGGAGACACCAAGATCAGCCTTCTGTCTACATTTTCACAGGACAGCACGTATTTTGTTTCTCATCAAAACATCTTCAGGTAGGAAGAACACATTCAGTGATGAATCGGTAGTGTTTAGTTCACAATCGTGTGCTTTAGTAACTGAAATCACTGGTGCAAAAATTGGTAGGCAGGACTGGGTCAGAGAGGAGAGGGGGACTGCCTGTGGGACTCGCATGGAAGGGAGCGACATCACATGGTCTCAGGTAGGAAATCTCAGCTCCTCACCTGGAAACGCAGTCACACACACTTTACTTTGTGTGATAGATTATTATTACTAACACTTAGAGGCTCCCTGCCCTGTTGGTATCCGCTCACACTCAAAACGCCAGGCACATCTAGCTACCGGAAGTTCCCTCTCACACCAGGTCTCTACACGGCCGCTGCCCACATGGCTCCCTCCACCTCGAATGAGCGTCTGCCTTCCTCCCGCCTCAGTGACCTGCTGTAAAGCCCAGCGCTATCAAACAGTGGGCCTGAAGAGGCTCTCGCTTTGCAATGCTTGTCCTACTTGCTTTATTTGCTGAATTTGTTTTACTAGCTCCGCTCATAACTCACAGAGGTAAACGTCTGTCAGGCAATGCCAGGGAATTGTCAACTGACCACTGTTGATGCTGACGTTTGCCCCACCATGGAGCAGTGCCCTCAACAGTCCAGTGACAGAGACAACACTGGTGTTGGGGGCTTAGTATTGAGCAAAATGTTCATGGGGAGGAGGGTTATGGCAGAAAGCACAACAAAAGCATTCCAGTGTGAGATCAGAGCATTTACAAGCTAGCTGGTCCTCTAATCAAGAAGTAAACATTCAAGTCGTTAAGCCACAAAGCCAAGCGAGAAAGCCAAGGCTGGCTTAGCAGACGTCTTTTGATCATTCCAGAAGATTCCAGCTGAGCTTTCCCATCCTGTTTCATATCCAAGACCGTCTCGCCATAGGATGTGTGATTCGGGGACCGGGGTGGGTTTGGAAAAAGTTCAGTCCTTCCCACCCATAGGTCACTCTGCAAAAATAATGAGTCTATGGGAAACTACCAGACCCCAAACCTGGAACGAGAGGTGAAAGAAGTGCATAAAGTACAGGGATGAAGACAAGGACTTCAAATCCTGAGAACCAGGGGCTGGACACTGCCTCTCTGTCCTTCCTTTATTATTATATTATATTGTATTATATCATATCATATCATATCATATCAATCTATCTGTGAAGACTGTGAAGATTAAATTCTAATAAATACAAGTTTCCCCCCACTCCCCCACACACACCATGCCAGGCACATGGCAAGCACTCAAGAAACATTGATTGTCTCTTCTTATTTTATTGTGACTTTCTTACCATTTCAATCTCCAACAAGGTCTCTCTTGGAGAAGAGATATATGTTAAAGCCTGTCCCCCTATGAAAATCCCTGCACCCCCATCCGATCTCTCACTACATACAGCCCTCACCGGGGTACATCACAATTGTGTCTTTATTTTATCTTTCATGTTAACTTCTTGAGGGCAAGAACAACTTATATTTATGTCTTTACCAGCAGGACCCACAGGATAGAAGCTGCCAGTTATGTAAAATTCATCCTACCATGCAGTATGTACTAAAGACCAGGGTGAGTAGACAGTGTTCCAAGTCACAAAGACACAAGACCAAAACAAACACACAAGCACCATTTTAGAGTTTACAGCGTACTGGAAGAAATGCAAAGCAGGCGAGAACTGACAATTCTCAGATCCGGCTCGCCACTTGAAAGAGTTTGCTGGCTTCCCAGTAAGAGAAAATCGATGTTCACCATACATTGTGGCTACTAGAGTGTGCAATGGCATGATATCTATGAAACAATGCACACTTCTTTAAAAACACTTGATTGCTAAAAAGTATCATCGGCAACTGAGTCTTCAGGAAGTTACCAGCTGTTTGCCTCTGGAGGGTACAACAGTCACATCAAAGGTAACTGGCCACCATTCCTCACAACAGATAGGAGGTGTTCATTTCCTGTCCTGTGTCCTGTTTGCTTAATTCTCACATAGGTATTTTACACTTTCCCCAAACCCATGACCTTAACAGGATCAGCTAAGAGAGAATTAGGAAAGGCCTATAGCCAATGTTGGTAGAATCCTAAGCCTGTTCACGGAAGATAGTTCATGGAACATTAGCATCCTGGTAGACACTCTGAATAACAGACAAATATGGGAAGACTTCATTCTCACAGAAGCCCTATAGCTGAAGCTACAAAAAGTCACTCTAACATGTCAATTATGAAGGTCACTAGCAACCAGACAGCAAGTAGAATAATTACTCCACCTCTGAATGGGAAGTTTGAGAAGCCGAGATATTTTGGTTAAGTTTTAGTCAACTACTGTGACCTACAGTTAACTCAACTTTTTATTTTATTTTTTTTTAAGATTTATTTAATTATTCATACAGAACTGGGGTACAAGCCAGAGGTACAAGGGTGATGAGAGGATTCACCAGAGACAGAGCGGGGAGCAGAACAGACAGTTCGAGTGAAATACACTGCTGAGGGGAGCAGCAGGCAAAGCAGGAGAGGTCTGCTGTGGCATGCAGGCCACCCCCAGGGCCGAGGATCAAACTCACACTGAGGTGGCTATGGCCAGCTGGCAATGCTGCATCCTAACCTGTTGTGCCACCAGGGAGGGCCTAACTCAACTTTTGATATAAAGATAAACAGGCAAAAAAGATGATGTGATAAAATATACTCTATCAGAAAAGAGCATAAAAGATAAAATATAGAAAAGTACAGAACTATATGAGATGTTGACAGATTAGTGCAATTGCAACTAAACTTGCTGTTTTTCATATTTTTTTAAATTTTTAAACATAGTTTTTATGGGTTTTTTTATTGCATTACTTTTCATTGAGGTAATGATGGTTTCCAACACTGTGTATGATTTAGAGAGGCAGGCTTACAGACTTTATGGAGATCTAGCATGACATCTAATACATGTCTCACCTCCACTGAAAAACTACCCGTTACATATCAAGAAGTACTGCTGCGACCCACCAGCCAACACCAGTAACAAAATGTAATGTGTTAATAATTGTAAAGAAAAGAAACATCTCTAAGAAGGCTACAATTAATAAGAGTGATTGCCTGAGAACAAGTTATTTTTCTCATTATTTTGTTCCAAGTGGCTAAGAACTAAGGAAAGGAATTATTGCCAAAAAAAAAAGTCCGCAGAGCAGGTAATAATAAAATGCTGCACGCTTCTCTAGCTCGGGGACGGAAGCAGTTCTGAATCCGTCACGGTGGCAAAAAAGGACGCAGAAAGGATAACAGTGCAAGAAAAATTACACGGGATTAAGAAAGTGTTTCTGAAACCTGACAAAGTTTAAAAAGTGCAAGTCAAATCTGAAAGCACTGCGTATTTCCTTGACCTCATTCCCTCAAGGTCATTTCACTACAAAAGGGCAGAAGGAATGACACACCTGCTCTTCCACCTGTCAGGCTAAACAATGAGCATCAAATGAAAACACGGTAATAGACATCGTCAAAGGCAAAAGGGTCAAGAAAGAAAAATGCCACATTAATAACAATGAAAGTGTTAAATGTCATCTGCCATAAGAAAAGATATTTCATATTCCTCTCAAAATACAAGTTTGGAATTCTGACTTGAGTAGGTTGAAATGATCTAAATTTTATGAATTGCTGATTTGCTAGCATATGAAACACACAAGATAACATGTACGTGAATTTGGTGGCAATTAATTTGAAGGTAGATGGATCAGAGCATTAAAGACTCATAGCTAAGACACCACTTATGTGCCTTGGCGTTAAATACTCGTGGGGTAAGATCTCAACTCTACCACTTACAAGTGAGATATCCACAAGCAAATTAGTTGGCCCTCCAATGTCAGTTTACTCATTTGGAAAATGAAACAAGCACCCTATGAAAAATGTGTCCCATTCCATCGTACATTACCAAAAAAGACAAATATCTTCATCAAGCCATCCATGCATTTTTGAGAAAAGTGAAGGAATTAGACTCTCCCTCCATCCGTGTTTCTAAGTACTCTTCTTAATTCTAATAACCAAAAAGAAAAAAGAGTTCCAGACTCTTGCGGGGTGGCGTAGAAAGCCAGGCCGCTGCGTGGGGACAGCTAAGGCGGAGATGGGGAGCAGCAGATCTGACATGTTGTCCAAGTTGAACTAAATAATGATAATGATGGTGGTAGTTGGTATTATTTTTCAAATGGTTTCCGTGTTCATCTCCTACTTACAAATTAAATATAATACTGAGACCATACTTAATGTCAAAGTATGTTATTATCCTGATTACTTTTAATGAAGGGATTTTTCGCTGTGAAAATCCTAAAGGTGCCTTTACATCGCTCATAACTAATTTCACCGCCAAACGTCTCAGGATCCCACTGTCGCTTTCACAGTATCTCGCTTA